CCAGACAGGTCTTACCGAAAAGGAACCTCTAATTTTCTGGCTTCCCTGGCACCCTATATACGAGGGAAATCCTAAAGTTGCTGGTCCATTTTTAGGAATGGGAAGAATTTCCATCAGAGAGAAAGGAAGAGGTTTACAACCTTAGGTTGGGCTACTACAACAAAATACCATAGACTAGATTGCTTAACCAACAGATTTTTATTTTTCACAGTTCTGGAGGCTGGGAAGTCCAGAATCAGTGTCTGGCGAGAGTGCTCTTCCTGGCTTGTCTTCTTGCTATGTCCTCACATGGCAGAGAGAAAAAGCTCTAGTCATTCTCTTCTTATAAGGCTACTAATCCCATCAAGGGAGCTGTACTTTATCTAAACATAATTACCTGGGCACCTGGGTGGCTCAGTGGTCGAGCGTCTGCCTTTGGTTCAGGTCGTGATCCCAGGGTCCTGGGATTGTGTCCCATATCAGGCTTCCCACAGGGAGCCTGCTTCTCCCTTTGCCTATGTCGCTACCTCTCTCTGTGTGTCTCTCATGAATATATAAATAAAATCTCAAAAAAAAATTACCTCTCAAAAAGTCCCCACCTCTAATACCATCACTTGGAGGGTCATATAAAAATATGAATTTTTTGAGGTATAATTTGACTACCATTAATTTGGGACACCTGGAACAAAATTCACACAAAATAACAGCCTATAGCATTTCCCCCTCAGAGCTGGATGAATTCTTTCTGAAGACCCAGGAAGTCCTGAGAATAAAATGACCTGAACGTAGTCAAAGTAAGCAGGATTTCTTCTGTACCTATTGTATTTTCTGTAGAAAAGTTAGGACATGTAGGTAAGCAAAGAGAAAATGAAGATAACCCATAATTTGGAAAGTTTCTGAAATTTTTAACAAGAGAAGGACAGCTTTTCCTAATCCTCCTCTCTGTCCCTCTCCTGTCCCAGCCACTTTGGGGAGTGGATGCCTTATGTTTGCTCTTCTTGAGCGGCTGTTCAGCAATAAGTTGCCACCATTTGGAAGCTCAAGAGTGGTCTCACAGTTACAGATGGAAGGATTCCAGGGCTTTTGAGGGTATTGAAGTTCAAGTTTTATTTCTATTTTTGCTTTCTATTACACTGAATATCTAAGCAATATCGTAATGAGGAGAATACAGAAGTGGGGGATATGTCCACTAAGAGGCAACAGCAGAATATCAGGAAAAGGGGAGGCTTTGGAATCAGGCCACATTCAAACCCTAGCTCCACCTCTTAGGGTCCTTGGCCTTGTAAATGTACTGAATCTCTTTGAACTGATTCCTCATCTCTAAACAAATAAAGTCTATTTTCTAGGGTCCTTTTGACACTGAACAAATTAATCTATGTAAAGTATCGGTTGGGGCGCTTGCGTGGCTCAGTGGGTTAAGCATCTGCCTTCAGCTCAGGTCACATTCTTGGGGTCCTGGTATTGAGCCTCAAGTCAGGCTCCCTGCTCAGCAGGGAGTCTGCTTCTCCCTCTTCCTCTGTGATCTCTCTTGCTCTCTCAAATTAAGTAAAATCTTTAAAAATAAACAAAGTATCTGTTAATGTTTAGTACTTAGTGAAGGGTCAATCTGGATTAGTTCCCCTGTGTTGCTTGAAGAAGTTAAAATTAACTCTCCATAATCAACGTGGCCCCTTCCCTACCAAGAATGGGTGACTAATCTCATAGGCAGATCAAATCCACAAACATTGAGTGTTTACTATGAGAACTGCACTGAGGTTGGAAGGAAAGGGATGAATTAGAAGCCAAATACAGGTTTCCAATCTTGAAGGAGAGGGGAAAGGAGAAAATATATAAATGTAGGTACACTGAAACAAAAGATTTAAATAGCTCAAGATAATGTTATGAAACAGTACATATATGCCTAATTGCTCACTGAACTATATAGTTGAAACTAGAGAGGCAGAAATCCCAGGAAAGAATGGAAGAAAAGACTTTATTGGTGTTGAGTCTTGGAGGTATATAGGATTTGCATGGGGGCACCCAGGTGGCTCAGTGGTTGAGCATCTGCCTTTGGCTCAGGTTGTGATCCCAGGGTCCGGGGTGAGTCTCACATTGGGCCCCCCACAGGGAGCCTGCCTCTCTCTGTGGGTTTTTCATGAATAAATAAATAAAATCTTAAAAAAAAAAGATAGGATTTGGACAAAGTGAGATTTGTAAAGTTTAAAAATATACTAAGGAGTGTCTTTTCGTATAGTTTTCTGAGTGGTAACTCATTAATCAGAGAATCTCTTGTTAATTCTAAACATAGGCATTGAAAAGAAAGTCATTGTGCTTCCAATGGATTTGTAAACAAGGGTTCAAAGACTTGTAAGCAAATAAATCAGATTGCTCCTGGACTTGAAACTGCATTCTCTAGGAAGTATTCTAGATTCTTTTTCTCTGTTCTGAGTTTGACCTTGTCTTCTATTATGCAGTTCCAAGTTCATATGTTCATTGATATTTTGCCTTTTAAAATTCACTTCAGTTGTACATAACTGTACATTCTGGATGATGACAAGTCTCTGAACAGAATCTATGCTAACCAGTTATTGTAGGAATAGGATTTAATAGTCTGTGGCTCTGGTGATGTCACAGCACTTTGTAACATGCAAGACTGCGAACATTGGATTTTTAGATTTCTTTTTTAAGATTTATTTATTTATTCCTGAGAGGCACAGAGAGAGAAGGAGAGGCAGAGACACAGGCAGAGGAAGAAGCAAGCTCCATGCAGGGAGCCTGACATAGGACTTGATCCCAGGTCTCCAGGATCAGGCTCTGGGCTGAAGGCGGCACTAAACCGCTGAGCCACCCTGGCTGCCCTGGATTTTTAGATTTAAAAGCAACCTGAAGAGTGTTCCAGTTTTGCAAATGCCATTAAGCGAAGTCCAGGATGACAGTGCTAGAACCAGAACCCAGCTCTTCTGATTATCAGCAATGCAGCCCATCTTTTCTCACTATATTGGTAAATATTTGAGTGTCTACATGTATTATTCAGCAGACTAAGGGCTAAGGAAGTAACCACATTCAAGACATACACATGGCTCAATTGGTTAAACATCTAACTCTTGATTTCAGCTTCAGGTCTTAATCTTAGAGTCCTGAGTTTAAGCTCTGTGTTGTGCTCCATGCTGGGTGTGGAGCCTAGTTTATTTATTTATTTTTTTAAAAAGATTTTATTTATTCATTGAAGACACACACAGAGAGAGGCAGAGATACAGGCAGAGGGAGAAACAGGCTCCTGACAAGGGGCCCAACATGGGACTCGATCCTGGGTCTCCAGGATCACAACCTGGGCTGAAGGCAGCGCTAAACTGCTGAGCCACCCAGGCTAACCTGGAACTTGTTTTAAAAAAAAAAAAAAAAAGACAAATATGATTCTTTCCCTTTACAAGTCTATGTGGAGGAGGCAAACAGATGCAAGCATATTAAGTTATGGCAACTTGCTATAAATAACACAAAAATTGGTTGCTTTAGATAAGGTAGTGGGGGAAGATTCTGAACAGGTATCATTTAAGCTTAAACCTGAGATTGAAATCAGCCAAAACTGAATTGGGAAGGGGGAGGGGAAGAGTAAATATCAAGTACAGAGCCTTAAGGAAGTAAAGAGATTGGTAGGGTCCACCAGGAACTGACCAAAGGCTGGGGTGAAGATGGTATGAAGTTGAAGCAGTAAAAGGGGTTAGCTCATAGGTCACAACCTCAAATGGACACCTGGGCTGACAATGTCAACGGGAAAACTGGTGGAGTCTAAGTGCTTACCCAAGTGATAGAGACTATGGAAGATTGAAACGCATCCTGCCCCATATACTGGGCCATGTGTCCTCATGGCCCAGTTCTGCTGAATCTTCTACTTAAGAGATGGAAATCTGAATTTTTAAGGTATCCTGTGTTTTAAATGTTTGTTCAGATTTGTTAAAAACACTGTGAGCCGGGCAGCCCCGGTGGCCCAGTGGTTTAGCACTGCCTTGGGCTGGGGGCGTCATCCTGGAGACCCAGGATCGAGTCCTGTGTTGGGCCCAAATCTTAAAAAAAAAAAAAAAAAAAAAACACTGTGAGCCAAACAAAACACAATGTGTTTGTTTATTCCTAAAACACAATAGGTCCAAGCCACCTCCCTGTGCTCTCCTTTTCTCCCAAGGAGCAGCAGATCCCAGAACCCAGCCCATTAGCTTCTTCTCTTTGTTAACTGCCCACTCTTCCCACTGGAGTTCTGTGCACCCCAAGCTTGGTTGCTAAGGGGGTGGAAATCAGCCCTTTACCTCCTCTCGTCTTGCGATCACCAAAGACAAATGTGTGTATAGACACATATATATGTGTGTACATATACATAAGTATATGCTTTTTATTTCCCAAGGTTCTGTTGCAAATCAATGGGGAAACAAAAAAGGGACAAAAATAACTTGCCTGGAAAAAGTTACCAGGGTACAGAATTTAGCAGTTAATTCTGGCCTCTGATTCTTGCTTAGATAATAGCTGGATGCATAGGCCCTTACAATTGGGCTCTTATTCTTCAGTAGGGAAGCTTTGCAAAACTCAGCCTTTCTTTTGAGTCTCCCTTACTTCTCCAATTTAGAGGAAGGATTCAAGTCCACGGAGGGGAGGTGGAACTTCCCAAAGAGTACATATTCCAAGGTCGCAGGAAGCATTCCTTAATTGTGTGACCTTGGCATGTGACAACTTGTCACCCATTTTCTAATCTCTAAAATGCTAATCATACCTTCCTCTGTAGGGCTGTCCTGATGTAAAAAGGAGATAAAAGTCTATAAAGTGAGGGGCACAGAGTAGGTGGTCAGCTAACATTGGACTCAGCCCCATTAAGCAATGATCCCCATGGGTATTTCCTTACAAAGTGTCAGAGAGGTATTTCTGTGGTTGTCTATCCACTTCTCCCCAGTATTTGCTCCCCCACACACTAGGCCTCCCACAAGCGTGACTGAATGAAAACTCCTAGCACTGGAGCACACCCCCCCCCCCCCCCATAGAAACACACTTTCAGAAAATGCTGCTACAGGCCTTGGATTACTGGGCAGCGGTACCTTCCAGAACCCCCTTGGTGCCTTCACATCCTGCTTGGCTGCCCTGGTCCAGATGGTTCATTTAACCACGGTCAAATTAAAATCTCAGTTGCTGGGAAAACGCAGGAACCGTCCTCTCTCAACCGCAGGAGCTGAAGCGAGCGAGCACCCTCAGGCCCCAGAGATCCCGCCTCCTTCCACGGAGCGAGCCTATCAGCGTCCCTCTAGCGATGAGCGGCAGCTCCCTGGGAGCCAATGAACTCCGCTCGTTGGCAGAAACCCGCCCATCCCTCGAGTCGTCAGTTGGTCTCCCGTAGATAGATCCAGCACCTGCGCTTCCTCGTAGCCAGCTTGTTGGAGGGTGTTTGCGTTAAAGTTGCCTGAGACCGGACCTTAAAGGGGAGGGAGCAGGACGCGGGGCCGGAGCCCTTTAAATCGAGGCGCGTGGTGCCTGCCCCTTTAAGGCGTCCGGACGGCTGAATCTGAGCTCCCGATTACCCCGAGTTTCCGTCGCAGGCAGCGAGGAAAGGCTCCGCGGCTGGGTCCGGGTCCTTGGCGGCGGCGGCTTCCTCCGCGCTCGTCCTCCCCGGGCCCGGAGACACCCCCGCCCCAGTCATGCTGAGCAGAGTATGGAAGCAGCTGACTACGAAGTGCTATCCGTGCGGGAGCAGCTCTTCCACGAGAGGGTTCGCGAGTGCATCGTGAGTACGGACCCGGGCGGCAAGGGTGATACAGGGGCGAGCGGGCCCGAAGCCCGGGGGTCGCGGGCGGGGGGTGTCGGGTCGGAGTGCGGGGGGCCGGGGCTCAGGGCCTGCGGGGGCCGGGGGCGAGCGGCGGAGGACGGCGCCCGGATCGGTTGGGCAGCTGCGCGTAAACAAAGCCGCGGGTCGGTTTCCGTTCCTCCCCCGGCCCCGCCGCCCCGCCCCGCCCCTCCCCCCCCCGGCCCCCCACCCCTCGCGGGGGGTTCGCGGCGCGGCTCCGCGAGCCCGCGGATTTCGACCGTCCTCCGAGAGCCTGAGACGATGGGTCTGGTTGGGGGAGACCCCGCAAACTCCGCTGATGTTTGACGAAAGGGAGATTCCAGGAAAGACCTGGGAGGTGTAGGGGTGGCGTGCCAGAGGTACGGGGCACGCTGGTGGGCCTCCCACTTTGGAAGAAAGGACTCTTGTGGGATGGATTCTACTGCGTAGAGATGGAGAACAACTAAGTTGCCCCCCCTTCTTTTCCCCTCGTTGGTGCTTGTCGGACGCCCCCCCCTCCGCCCCCCTCCCCCTCAAGCCGAGGTTCTAGCTCCCCAGCCATTCAGGGATTTCCCCTGTGAGTGCCCCCCCCCCCCCCCCCCCCGCCAGTGCTCCACAGGCAGCAGGCTGTGCCTTACGCCCTCACTGCCACCCAGGGCAACAGCTGAACCTGCCACACAGAGATGGACTCCTCTCTTCTGGGCCCCTGGGGAACCTTGGGGAATCTAGCTGCATCTGCCTCAGGGCTGCTTTCAATTCTCATCTCCCCCCCTCTGTCTTTCCTCGGAGTTCCCACCCCCAGAGTAGCCCTCACCCCCCAAATGCTAAACGGAAGGCAAAAAAGGAAAAGTTTGAAAGAACAGAAGTATTAATGAGTAGGGAGACCCACTGATGAGCCATCCTTTGTTTTTCTCAGTCTGCCCTGGGCCGCTTCCAGGCTGGAGGGAGGGATAAAGTGAGCCATGACATAACTAGGTCTGCTCTTCTGTGTGAGGACTGAAAAGCAGGGACTGTATCAGTCCACGTGTGGAACTCCAGACCAACTTTCCTTGTGTGATTCTTAGTGGATAGTCCCACATGGTGAGGCTGGGTGTGTTGTGGAGAACACGCCCAGGCCTTGAGACCGTGTAGGGACAGAGCCCACATTCCTAGAGAACAGAGAGGGATGAGACCTTGGACAGAGAAGCAGCCTCCTAGATGTCTCCCCCACTCTTTACTCCTGTTAGCTGAGGACACCAGTGCCCGCCAAGGGCAGCCTGAAGCCTTCTGCTGCCTCCCCCACCTGGCTCTAGAGAATGACCTAGCCTCTGCTGGAACTGCGTGGAACTCCAGCCTGACCTTTTGAGCCCTCCCACCTTCCTGGCTATTACGCAAGCCCAAGGACAGAGGGAGCATTAGGCAATTAGAAATCTTCAGTACAATCTGAGTAACTCATTCTACTCGGTTTCCCTAGTGTTAAAAGCTAAAACTTTGTTCTGGACCCATCACTCTTCTTGGGTCTCTTTGACTTCTTCCTTCCATGTATAGATAACTGTGTGCAGATTCCCTGTGGGGTCAGCTTCTTTCGGGGACTGGAGGACCCATGAGACTGATCTTGCTCTCTTGGCTTACTTATTTAAATGCAATAGCATCTTGGGGTGTCTGGCTGGCTCAGTCGGAAGAGTGTACAACTCTTAATCTCGTAGTTGTGAGTTTGAGCCCCACGTTGGGTGTAGAGATTACTTAAATAATTTAAAAAATAATAAATGCAATAGCATCTCCTCAAGAACCTCTGACGCTGATTGTAGAGCCAGGCCCACCAGTGCTTCCTCTCTTGGGCAACAGCAGCTTACTTGGGGTAGGGTAGGGATACATACATATGCAGAGTAACTTGGCCAAGTCCTGCCACAACTATGGAGTGGAGGGCTAGTTGCCCAGAGGGCATGGGACAGCCTGACTCTGGAGTTGGAAGTAGCTTGAATAGGGACAAGGAGTTGGTAGCCTTTAAAGAGGCTGATGTGGCTCTAGAAACATTGTGGATTTTATTTATTTACTTTTAAAGATTTTATTTATTTATTCATGAGAGACACAGAGAGAGGCAGAGACACAGGCAGAGGGAGAAGCAGGCTCCATGCACTGGGAGCCCGATGTGGGATTCGGTCCCGGGTCTCCAGGATCATGCCCTGGGCCAAAGGCAGGCGCCAAACCGCTGCACCACCCAGGGATCCCCCAGCATTGTGGATTTTAGATGTTGGGCCCCAACTAAGGTCTACTCTCAGGGCAGGGGATTAAATGAAACTCTGCTTTGGCCAAGAACAGACCTGATCTTTCAGGCCCCTGAATAAACACAGAGTAGACATTCTGACTTAGTCTAAGAACATGATTCCTACTTATTCTCTCCTGGAGCTTGGGTCAAAGTGGCAGCAGGGGCAAGGGGGAAAGGGAGGAGACGAGTGTCAGGACAATGTAAACATCCCTTTCTTCCTGGAACCTGCTTCCCTTTTCAATAACACTAGGAGTAAAGTCCCTTTGGTTCTATGGCCTGTTTCAGGTATGTGTGTATATGTGTCTCTAGTTTTCTCGGCCTCTTTACCAATCAGGGTTCAGCTGAAGCTATTTTCTCCCAGAAAAACCTTCATAGGGCTGGACATAATGCTGTCTGGTCCTTCTTAAGGGGCCCTTGAGGCCCTGACTAGAAGAAAATCCTGGAGAAAAACATGGAACTCCTGGAAGTATGGAGCCTTGTTTTGGGACAGTGACCCCATAGAATTAATAGAGAGGCCACTGGGGCTATGGAATGTGCTGGTTATTAGAGCTTCTCATCCTAGCTCACACTCTGCCACAGATCTCAACACTTCTGTTTGCGACACTCTACATCCTCTGCCACATTGCCCTGACGCACTTCAAGAAGCCTGCTGAGTTCACCACAGGTACCTGTGACTTCCCTCCCTTTTCCCTGCCCTCTGCCAGTGTTCCTGTTGCCATGGGGCCAGCCTCAGGGGAGTGGGCCCTTGGCGCCTGCTGGGAAAGGAAAAACTGGAGTCTTTGCCTCTTCTGCTTCCCTTTTTCCACAGGCAGGGGCAGGTGGTATAGTGGAAAGCCTAGACAGAAGGGTCTACAACTAATAAAGCCACTGGGAAAGTCATATAACTTTCCTGAGCCTCAGTTACATCCTCTGGAAAATGGGCCTAAGGGTCTCTAACCAGTTCGTTGACATTGTGTGGACCAAAGGAGATGGTTCATGTGAAAGCCCTCTGTGAATCTAAAATGGACAGCTACAGGGTGAATGTTACCATGGGCACAAGCTCTGTCCTCTCCTCAACAAGGACACTCACACCGACCTGACCTAGGAACAGAGGAACAGAAGACTTGCCTGACCACTGGGCCCCCCAGGACCCGGTGATGGTGGCTTTTCTCTTTATAAAGAGCTAAGTGTCCTCAGATTGGAACTTTCCTTCCTATAGGCATTGTGTGATTTGGGGGGACACATTCCCCCCAATTCCTAGCCCCAGACTGTCCAGATCATCCTGTCCTGGTCCTAGTCTTTACTCCCCTCCAGAAGGGTTCATGAACCCAAGAAGGGGTATAATTCTCCCAAGGACTTTCTCTGTGAGTCTCACCACCCCACCCCCTTGCTTCATTTCCCTTTGCTGCACCCAGCCACTGATGTAACCAACCTCCCAGACCAGCTGTTTTTTTTTTATATTTTCAGCTTGCAAAGAGGAACCTGCAATGAGAGAGATTGGGGGGAGGGGGGAAGTAAGAGAATTTCTGGCTCATACTCTTTCCACCTGGGACCACAGATCTTTCAGCTGCCACCTCAGCCAGAGAATAGGTTTTGGGACTCATAGCATTTAACTCTCCCAGGGCCTCCTTTGCAGCTCTGCCTCTGTGGCCTAGGCCCTTCTTTCACGGGGCAAGGAAGGGGAAGTAGGGCACACTGCAGCACAGATGGCTCCCAGAGCTGCCCACTGATCTCTTGCCTCTTCCCGTGCCTCTCTCTCGTAGTGGATGATGAAGATGCTACAGTCAACAAGATTGCGTAAGTGTTGCCGTCCCAGCTCCTGGCACTAGAACCCTTTAGAAGCTGGGATCTAGTGAGACTCCTAGAGCTCAGGGGAGAGTGGAGTGTCATGCAGTGAAGAGAGGGTTTCTGCTTCCACCCCATTTCTGGCTTGTTCCGGCTTCACCTCACTCTGGGGACGCTTGGAAAAGTTGTTGTTCCTGTATCCCTGGTTAGGCCAGGAGTTTCTGGGAGCCTCTTGGCCAGGAACTGTGTGTGAGCTGGGGCCTGAGTCACCGGAAATGATTCCAGCTTGGCTTCACCTCCCAGTGGCCATCAGGGAAGGAGTGGGGCAGCAATGTAGACCGATGGAATAGAGCAGGGGATGTGGAAAGTGGAACCCTTAAGGGCAGGGTGTGCTTGGTTTTGAGAGAAGGCTTTGCTCCAGGCTGTTATTATGCATTAGCACATATAGGGAAAATATAGAGACGGCCCCTGTGATCAACAGATTAAAAGAAGGCAACCTTACCCCCCTTGGTGGACCAACTAGCTAAAAATGTCTCTTCTTTTCACCTGAGGCAGCTCTGGACACAGGCCTCAGCTATGAAGCTGGGTTTCAGGTCCTCCTTTTCCCCCTTTGCCTAGTGCCTTCATGCACGGCCTAGCTATATGGGGTGACTTTCCTCTTATTTGGGCTAGAGAAGGGAAGCTCGGAAATCCATATCTCTGAGCAGAGAAGACAAGTCCCTTAGCTTGGCATGCCTGCTATACCTGGCAGGCACGTATAGGAGGACCACATTCCTGGGGATAGTCTGGGCAAGTGTCACGGCCTATGACATGAATGCCTAAGGTGTGTCCATCCCTTGTGCCAAGGCTTCCCTGGAAGGGGAGTTTAGGGGACAGTGGGTAGAGCCCTGGCTGGATGGCTCCTCCCCTGGGTCTGTCACTGCTACAAGTAGTTCTAGGAGAAGCCATCAGTGCCCAGGGGATGAGGAGGGCTTCTTGGGCCAAGGGAAGTGAGTGTCTAAGCAAGGGCACTACCCATTCTCTCTGCCCAGGCTTGAGCTCTGTACCTTTACCCTGGCTGTCGCCCTGGGTGCTGTCCTGCTCCTGCCCTTCTCCATTATCAGCAACGAGGTGCTGCTCTCACTGCCCCGGAACTACTATATCCAGTGGCTCAATGGCTCTCTCATCCATGGTACGTGGCTTCTGGTTCCAACCTGGCGTGGTGAGAGGGAATAGACTAGGTTCATGCAGACATAGACAGCCTCGGCTAATTAGTTGTGTATCACCCCATCCTTGCCCCTCTCTGCCACCACATGTTCAGTCCCCAGTAGGTTGTTCCCCGCCTCCCACCAATCACCTCTGCTTTTCCTTTTTTGCTCTAGGCCTCTGGAACCTTGTGTTTCTCTTCTCCAACCTGTCCCTCATCTTCCTCATGCCCTTTGCATACTTCTTCACTGAGTCAGAGGGCTTTGCTGGCTCCAGAAAGGTAAGTGGGGGATATATCAATCATCTAGGCAGGAAACAGAATTCCACTCAGGTGGTTCAACTAAAGAGATTTCATTTTACTTTATTGTGTTTTATTTATTTAATTTTAATTTAATTTAATTTTTTTGGAGAAGGGAAGGGCAGAGGGAGAGAGACAATCTTAAGCAGCCTCCATGCCCACACACAGCCCAACATGGGGCTTAGTCTCACAACACTGAGGTCATGACCTGAGCCGAAATCCAGTTGGCTGAGCCATCCAGGTGCCCCACTGGAAAGATTTTAACAAAGACTATTTGCAGAGGTTTAGTCAGAGTTAAGAGGATCAACAAAGAATTTGAGATGCTACTGTCAGCAGGAAGACATTACCACCCCTAGGCCTGTGGGAGCAAAAGGAAGAAATAGTTTCTGGAACCCATTGGTAGTTGAAGCTGGGAGGTGCTTCACAGCTACTGCTAAAACCATAGTGCCAAAGGTTGAAGGAAACTGAAGAAATACCCTGATCCCTCTCTCTTCCTGCCTTCCACCCTCTTGCCTGTCCTTCCCATTGGGCAAACTGAACCAGAGGGCAAAGAACTTGTGTGATGAAGCCCTTGGGGACCAGCCTCCCATGGCAGGGCAGGATGGGGAAGGGAACTGGGGAGGGGATAAGCAAATGAAAACTATTGGTATGGTATAAGAAATGGCCCTAGATGTAGGGTGGGAGGACAGGGTGATGTAGCGGAATAATAGGGAGACGCCCTTCCCTGTCTCCTGAATCCAGTCCTTTCTGCTTTCCCAGCCAGGCTGCCATCCCATGTCTCCTTCCTTCCCCTGATGTTGATCCTGCCCCTTTCCTGTTGCCTCCTCCTATAGGGTGTCCTGGGCCGGGTCTACGAGACGGTGGTGATGTTGATGCTGCTCACCCTGCTGGTGCTGGGCATGGTATGGGTGGCATCAGCCATTGTGGACAACAACAAGGCCAGCCGGGAGTCACTCTATGGTGAGAAGGCCAGCTTCCTCCCTCCCCCTCCACCCAGGCTGAATGGCTCTGCAGTTGGCTGATATTCTCCTGCATGGAACAACTGTAACCCTCTAAGGTGGAGAAGATTGGGACCATGTTTCTTAGACTGAAATTTCAAACTGATGGATGTCAAGCCAAGTCCAACTTGCAGAAATGATCCATTGGGCCCATGCAATGATTAAAAATATAAATGAGTCAGTTGCTGACATGCAAAAGTTGAGAGATTTCACATTAATATCCAGATTTGTGGCTTTGCCTGACAAGATTGAGGATCCAACCACATCAGATTGCAGGGACTAGGCCTAATAACAGTTGTATTCTTTTTTTTTTTTTCCATTTTATTTTTTAAAGATTTTGTTTATTTATTTGAGAGAGAGAGCATGAGCCTGGAGGGAGGAGCAAAAGGAGAGGGACAAGCAGGCTCCCCGCTGAATAGGTAGCCCAATGTGGTCCTCGATCCCAGGCCTCCAGTTTCATGACCTGAGCTGAAGGCAGACACTTAACCAACTGGATCATCCAAGCACCCAAGCAGTTGTGTTCTTTAGATACAGCATAGGGCCTCCAGTTTGCTGTAGCCCCCACTGCTCCCTCTTCTGCTGACACTGGGCCAGCTTTCCTTATTTGCATTACTTGCCTAACCCCTGTAGGCTTATGTGTGGTGTCCTTGCTAGTCTCTGAGGCCCATCAACCCCTGGGAAGCTGGACGAGAGACCAGCTAACATACGTCTTTTTTACCCTTAGACTTCTGGGAGTACTACCTCCCCTACCTCTACTCCTGTATCTCCTTTCTTGGGGTCCTGCTGCTCCTGGGTGAGTGTTGAAGGTCTTGGAGGGAATGGGCGAGGTCTGTGGATCAAAGTAACCAGGGTGGAAGGAGAGGGGATGGAAGGACGGGTAGGGGAAGTGGTAGAGAAAAGGGCTGGCAGGTAACTGGCTCCTGTCCCTACAGTGTGTACTCCACTAGGTCTGGCCCGCATGTTCTCAGTCACCGGGAAGCTACTGGTCAAGCCTCGGGTACGTAGTGCTCCTTGCCCTTTGACTCCTGCAAAGCTGGAGCCAAACAGTGAAGCAACCCTATAGTTGTGCAGCACACGCCTTGCAAAAAGCCACAGCCTTTGTTGGCTCCTGTATCCTTCAACCTCATCATTTGGAGCTGGTCACCAGACGTGCAAGGCAGAACAAAGGGCAATTGGGAGGGACTAGACAAAGCTTCTGGCCACAGGGTAGTGAATGAGAGTTGGGGGAAAGAATGAGACTGGAAACTGGGATGAGCAGGGGTCTCCTGGGGCCCTTGGGATCAGGGAGCCTCTGACAGTCAGTTCTTCCCTTTCCCCTGTCCCAGTTGCTAGAAGACCTGGAGGAGCAGCTGTATTGCTCAGCCTTTGAGGAGGCAGCTTTAACCCGCAGGATTTGCAGTAAGTCCTGGTTCTCCTCAGCTGGGATGGTGGGTGTGGCTTGGGCAGGGGCCACAGGACTGAGGCAGCACCATCTTCTCTGCCCTCAGATCCCACCTCTTGCTGGCTGCATTTGGATATGGAGCTGCTGCACAGACAGGTCCTGGCTCTGCAGACACAGAGAGTCCTGCTGGGTATGTAGGTTGGTAGGGAATGGGATATCTGTGTTTCCCCAAGGAGAGTAGCCCATCATTCTAGGCCCTTGCTAACAGCTTCCATTCCAATACAGAGAAACGACGGAAGGCTTCAGCCTGGCAGCGGAACCTGGGCTACCCCCTGGCCATGTTGTGCTTGCTGGTACTGACGGTAGGTGTTCCGTTCCTGGTGGGGGTGAGGAATAGCAGGCTCTTGACTGCTTTAGGTCTTCTCAGGGAAGAGAGAAGAGATGCAGGGACCGATTATCATCAATAACCATGGTTGCCCCTCACTGATTGCCTGCTCTATGTCCTGCCCTGTACTGAGCATATCGATCCCCATTTTGTAGATGAAGAAACTGAGGAGTGAAGGAGTTTGCCTAAGGTCATACATGGCTGCTGAGTAGTTAACAGGCTTGCTCTGTGGTGAAAATAAGGCTTGAAATCAGTCCCTTCCCGCAACTTGCCATGCTCTAGACTTGGAAATAAGTTGTATTGGTCTAGGGGAAGAGGCACATTTTTTTTCCTTTTTTTTTTTTTTTTAAGATTTTATGTGTTTATTCATGAGAGTCACAGAGAGAAAGGCAGAGACATAGGTAGAGGGAGAGAGAAGCAGACTCCCTGCGGGGAGTCCGATATGGAACTCGATCCTGGGACCCTGGGATCACAGGATCACACCCTGAGCCAAAGGCAGACGCTCAACCACTGATCCACCCAGGCACCCCAAGGCACATTTTTCTAGTCGAACTTTTTACAATCCTTCCACCCTGAAACGGTGTGTTTTATAGTACCCTCAAAGGTGCTGTGTTGCTAGCAGTGGCCTTGAACAGGTCCCACACAGCTAATGGAAAACTGGAAAATGTTGGACCAGAGTATCTGTTCTTAACATTCAACTCCAAATACAACTGTGGGCTGGGGCAGGAATGGGAGTCCATGATCTTGCTTCACACAGGGCCTCTCTGTGCTCATTGTGGCCATCCACATCCTGGAGCTGCTCATCGATGAGGCTGCCATGCCGCGGGGCATGCAGGTACCAGGCTGCGTATTCTTGGGGGAGGGCTTAAGAAAGCCTGGGGTGAGAGACCGAAGCTGAGGCCAGAGGGAAGGCTGGGTGTGGGTGCTGGGTGGTGCTCCTGGTAGGGAGTACTCCAGAGCGACACTACTCTTTCTCTTAGGATGCCTCCCTAGGTCAAGTCTCCTTCTCCAAGCTGGGTTCCTTTGGTGCCGTCATTCAGGTTGTACTCATCTTGTATCCTTCTGGACACTCACCATTGCCTCACTGGACACCCACCAGTTCGCTGACCCTGTCTCCTGGGACTGTGGTGGGGACGATGGGGGAGGGGGCAAGACTTTACCAACCTAGGATTCAGAAAGAAGGAAATTACTTTATTTGAAAGGAGGGTCAAGGGAGAGGTCCATTCCCTTTGAGATGAGGCATTAATCCTTGGGGGCTAGCCAGTTCTTCCTTAACCCAGTGGCAGTTACCTGATGATATCCTCAGTTGTGGGATTCTACAGCTCTCCATTCTTCCGGAGCTTGCGGCCCAGATGGCATGACACAGCCATGACACAGGTAGCTGGGCAGGAATAGAGGAAGCCTCTGAGGGCATGCATGGGCTCTAGGTGCTGGCAGCTTTGCTACCCTCACCTTTCCTTTCCTTACTTCCACCTAGATAATTGGGAACTGTGTCTGTCTCCTGGTCCTAAGCTCAGCACTTCCGGTCTTTTCTCGAACCCTGGGTAAGTAGCAAAAGGAGGTAAGGGAATTGGCTTTTTCTGAGTACCTACTGGTGCTAAGCATATACTTCATATATGTGCTCTCTCTAATTCCCACAGCAAACCTACAAGGAGGTATTACCCCCATTATACAGATGGAGAAATTGAGGCTCTGTAAAATGCCTGTGCTGAGCTTCAAAATAGTGTTACTTCAAAGCTCACACTTTTCCATTAGCTACATCCCACGGCTTCCCTATTTACTTCCATTTTTTGGTGGAGAAGCACCACTTTCCCCCAAATCTTCCAATGGGCTGGATCCTCTAATACATATTCTCATTTTATAAAGACAAGAAGCAAAGAAGCTAATTGATTTACATAGTTATATAACTAGCTTGAAGCAAGGCCAAGTTAGACTAGAACACCTTGTCTCTTAAACTCCAGTCCAGTGCTTTTTCCACACACTGGGACATCAAATAATACACTCCGTCCTTCTCCCATCATTAGAGCTCTCATCTAGAATTGCCTGGTAAAAGCATGCAAAAGTGTAATAGTTCCCCCCAGGGTAGTATGGGAGTTGCAGAGGTCATCACCCCTCCACCACATCATCAACCATATATCCTAAATGATTTAGTATTCGCATCAGTTCTGTTTGGTTCTTTACTTCATATTGTCTCCACTATAGCATTGTACTTAATGCCAGGGATTCAGTAGAAAAAACTAGGCTTGTGGGTCACCTGGTTAGTTCCTTTAGGTTGTATGTAGGTAAGAATATTATTTTAAGTGGGAGATAGCCCTAAAATTTGGACTTGGGATGACATTATGATGATTAAGGGCTCAGGCACTGTTAGAATAGTGCTTGACGCATATAGTACTTTATGTGTGTTGTCTCATTTAATTCTCACAGTCCCGTTATTTTCTCTATAGTTAAGGAAACTGAGGCACAGAAATTTAAGGAATCTGCTGCAGGTCACAGTTAGGGGTGGGGTTTGGATCTGAACCCAGGCAGCCTCATTACAGTCGGAGTCTTAGCCTCCACACTGGAGAAGATGCCAAACTCTGGAAGGGAAGGTGGAGCAAGCCTCGCTGCTGACACTTTCTTCAACAGCCATAACTCCCTCTGAGACAGTTGGGAAGAAGGAATAATTAACGCATAGGAAGAGGCCAAACTATCGATTGCAGTGTTGAGATATGGCCACTAGGAGGCAGCAGAAAGCTGGGCTCTGAGCCAGGGAGGAGCTGGGGAGCCCACTCCCACCCTGGCCTCTGTACTTCAGGGCTCACTGACTTTGACCTGCTGGGTGACTTTGGACGCTTCAACTGGCTGGGCAATTTCTACATCGTGTTCCTCTACAACGCAGCCTTCGCGGGCCTCACCACTCTCTGTCTGGTGAAGACCTTTACCGCGGCTGTGCGGGCAGAGCTGATCCGGGCCTTTGGTGAGAGGAGTGGGGGTGTGGGCTAATGGGGTGGCTGTGAGGTGGGGCCCTCTGGAACCATGGTCATCCAGGCAGTTGGGATGGTATGCTCTCTGCTTTGTTTGTAAGGCATCTCATATACCCATTCTGTGGCTTGGTTGCCTTATCCCCAAGACTAGACCTGTACCCTGCTTTTGACTGCCCTCCGTCTTCTCCAGGGCTGGACAGATTGCCATTGCCTGTCTCCGGTTTTCCCCGGGCATCTCGGAAGACCCAGCACCAGTGACTTCCAGCTGGGAGTGGGAGGGAGAAAACTGGACACTGCCATCTGCTGCCCAGGCCTGGAGGGGCGCCCGGGGGTGGGTGGACCTCAGGACCTGGAATCTGAGAGGGTGGTAGAGGGGAGCTGAGCTGTCTGCACTGTTGCATAATCTGAGCCAGAGTTTGGGACCAGGCTCCCCCGCTTTTCCAGATTTAACTGTGGGCCTCAGTATGGGGCAGGGCTGAGTGACTGGGTCTGGCTCCTGGTCCCAAATCTATTTACACATCAATCTGCCTCACTGCTGTTCAGGGCCATGCCCGTAGCCATGTTTACATGATTTGATGTGCAATAGGGTGGGGTGGGGACAGGGGAGAGACTGAGCTGGGAGCAGACTTGGGAGGCGGATTGTCTCCCTTGCCTCTGGCCCAGCAGAACCTAAGCACTGTGCTATCCTGGAGGGGCTTTGGACCATCAGAGGGACAAGGGCATAGGGAAGAAGTGACCACAACCATGAGCAATAAAGTTGATCCCAGGGTTTGTTTTGGTTTTTTAAAGGGCCTGTCTTTGTGTCTGTTGAACAATTCCCACCAATTCTGAGTCTACCAACTGAGAAAAACGAGAGATCCTACCTACCATCCTTTCCCTTCTCCATCTGTATTCTTAGTGTCTTTTAGGGACTTGGGTCTAGTGTTAGTTAGGTCATACAATTAGTAAAAGCTCCTCCTCCCTTAGCCTTGCTTAAAGCTGACTGGTCCCCTGATTCTTCCTTATACTCCTGCCTTGTTTTTGTGCCTTGGTTATTGGGGGTAGGTGGGCATGGGTGTAGGGGTAGGATAACTTCCCCCTCTATGCACACAATATCCTCAGCCCTGTCCTCCCTGACGTGGCTTGCATGTAAAATGAAAGAAGACTGACTGACAAGGGTTTGTGGTTTGCAGAGAAGAAGGTAACTGTCTTCCCAGAGGCTCTCAGTGCCTAGAACACTAGGCAAGCCCCCCTGCTGTGTGTGGGGGAGGTGGGGACAAAGTCTGCTCCAGGTGACGCAGATTGTGCACTGTGCAATTTCAAGGGGCCACCATTCACCTCATGGTCTTACATATGGTTACTATGACTATTTTCTTGCAAATGGCACATATCTTAAGGAAGGACCACTTTTTTCTAGTATACACGAAGTTGCTATAAGTGCTAGCCATGGAGCTGAGAGAGCAGTAGCATAGATTACCAAAAAAGTGTAGTTGCCACAAATACATGCTGGGCAGCCTACTGTAGGCCAGGCACGCAGCCATGGGGATTCATGGTAAACAGTTTTGTATTTAAGAATTGCTTTGTCTAGAAGGGTGACACAATTCTAATACTACAATGGTTGGCAGTTAATTACTGGTTCTCAGGCAAACAGGTGGGCAGTGTCAGGACATCAGGGAGGCCTTCTTAGAGAAAGTGATTTCTAAATGATAATAGATTGGTGGGTGAAGTGTTGCAGGCTCAAAGCCTCTCAGATGAGACTTGAGTGGTCCGAAGTAGAGCCAGTCCCAGGGGGTCCAGAGAGGGAGCAAGATAAAGAGGTGCCTAGATGGAAGATAAAGGGAAAAGACCATTAGTGGATTAGAGACTATGACTTGAAGTACCGACTGCCCTCCAGCAGCTTCTAATTGACAAGTTATGCATTTGAAAAGAAGAAGCCCTTGGGTGTCTGGCAAGGACAAGATGGGACAGAAGTTTGAAGTCCAGAACCAGATTATAACTGATTCTGGGGGAAGCTCTCAGCAGAAAGCTGCAAAGTCACCAGAGAAAATGGTCCCCTGGCACCCACCCCTTCCAGTCTTGGTTAGTACTTGCCACAAGGAGGAGAGATGAAAGTGGAGGCGGTTTGGGGAGGACCACGGAGAAGAACATCTCTGGTTGTATGCCCAAAGAGCTTGGCTGGCCTTGGGCAGAAACTGGAGCCCATACTTCCTGGATGATAGCGGAGGACAATGGGCTGCCAGGATAGGCTTTGGGAGAGTAAAGATCCGAATCAAGTACCAGAGGAGGGTGTTCTGGTGCCAAGCTTAGGCTTGGGAGTAGGATGCTTATCCAGGCAGCTAAGGACTGAAAAGCTACTAGGATTTCTTAAACAGGTGCCTGCCTGGTTTCCAGGATGGGACACGCTTCAGTCGTGAAATGGACCAGCGGTGACCGGCTAGAGCCCCCGCCCCGGTGGGAGGGGGCGGGACGGTCCCGGGAGAAGGGCGGGGGGCGGGGCCAGGGGCCACTTAAGGCGGAGCAGGGCGTTCTGGCAGCGCCGGAGCCGGGCAGCGGAGCCAGGCTGGGCTGGCACTCACCCACGACCCCCCTTCCCTGCTATGATGGCCCGTCAGTAGCAGGTTCCAGACCCCCCGGGGGCATGCGGGTAGCGCCGGCGGCGGCCAGGTGCGCAGAGCCACAAGAGCTCTAGGGCACTCGGGGCAGCACTGCCAGCTGCGCTCTCTGGTGCCGGGGGAGATGCCCAACTGAGGGGCGAGCTGTAGGACAAGAACGTTCCCTCTGGCCCGAGTCCTCTGCATCCATGGCGCTGCCGGCCAGGCTGGTGCCCCTGTGCTGCTTGGCACTCCTGGCGCTGCCCGCCCAGAGCTGCGGGCCGGGCCGGGGGCCGGTGGGCCGGCGCCGCTACGTGCGCAAGCAGCTCGTGCCGCTGCTCTACAAGCAATTCGTGCCCAGCGTGCCCGAGCGGACCCTGGGCGCCAGTGGGCCTGCCGAGGGGAGAGTGGCAAGGGGCTCTGAGCGCTTCCGGGACCTGGTGCCCAACTACAACCCGGACATCATCTTCAAGGATGAGGAGAACAGTGGTGCAGACCGCCTGATGACCGAGGTAAGGTGGACCTCGCCCCACCTGTGCCAGGGCACTGGGCACTGCCAGCCCGTGCGGCAGCCCGGGAGGGTGGTGAGCTGGGCTTCATCCACGGGGACCTTAACCTCAAAGGTTGCCTCTCCCTACCCTTCCACCGCTCCCCTCGCCCTCCCCCCCAAAACCCCAAAGCCGTGCTTACTGGGCTCAGTGATCAGAAGGGATCCCAACGGGGGAAGCTGGAATGGGGAGGGGAGGAGGGACTAGTGAGAGTGAAGCCCGGAGAGACAGCGAGGGCGGGGAAAAGAGGATGGCGGCCGGCGAGACGGGAAATGGCTGAGGCGTGGACCGGGGGTCAGCTACCGAGCCAGGCAGGAAGGGCTGGGGTGAGCTGGGGGCCAGGAGCTGGCGAGGCCGCAGCAGAAAGCTCTACCCTTAGCCTGGCTCCTGACCTGATTGTGGAAAAGCTCTGTGGGCTACAGAGACTGAAGGAGCCAAGTGGAAAGGGGGTGGCCCAGGGTTAGGTCACCAGGCCATCTACCTGAGAAGGGACTGGGCGGGAATCGTCTTCAGCACGGGGGAGGCATCCTAGAACCAAGGCAAGACTCTTCTAGAGCCTAAACGACTGTCTTGGGTGAAGATAGTCCTCAATGGGAAGAACAGATGGGCCCACCTGAGAATCAAAGTGCTCCGGCATCCCTCAAGCTCAGGGGGGTTTACCTCCTGGGGGTTACCTCAGGGGGTTTCCTTGGGATTAGAGAATTAAATTCAACTAGCATGTATCGAGCCTCTGCTGCAGGTTGGAACCTAAGCGACCTAGGATGGGAGGTGAGCGATGCCCTGCGAGTGAATGGCCACCCTCTGGCCAATGATCTCAAATGTCAGACCTGGAAGGAAACTTGGAAGTCATTCTTCCTCCTCCTCGCTTCAATTTTGCAGCTGAGAGCTGGGCCCCAAGAGGAAAAGCGATTTAATCAAAGTCTTAAAACTAATTAGTGGCGTGGCTGGGACTAGAATTCAGCACTCCTGATTCTAAGTCTATACACTTTCCATTACACCACCTAATTGTGTGTGGAGTGGGGAGCTGGAGGGAGAGGGAGTGGCGCGGATTTCCTCCGATTAATTGCCATAGTTTTCCAGGTTACTTTGTTAGGAAAACCTGTCCAGGGGAGAAAGAACTCCTTCTACTACTACTACTCGGAGATTAGGAAAGGGACACTCCTTCTCTCCTTGGTCATGGAAGAGTGTGGCCCTGTCGCCTGGCTGCCACCTGCAGCAGAGGGGCCAGAACAAGGGACAGGCCCAGGAGGGGCTCTGACGAGGCCTGGGAACCCCTCGGTCCTGCTTATCTCCCACACCCTGGCTGCAAAAGGCCTCCATTGAGTTGGCTTTGCACTGGGCTGCTGCCCCCGCAGGTCAAGGCCCCAGGGCCTCCTTGGGGGACAAAACGACAAAAAGTTGGAAGGAGTTACCACTTTTCCTGTCTTCCCCTCCCCTGCTCTCCAACCCTGCGGAGGTGTAGAAAACTCGGGAAGAAGGGAAGGAGGAAAGTGCCCCTTTGGCACTTAGGAGAAAACCAAGTCTGAGGTGAGAGGTCAGAGCGGGGAGAAGAAAAGGAAACTGTCCTCTCTGCGCCTCCTCCCGCCGTCGGTGCCGTGGTGCGCGCCAAGGTCTCCGGCTCCCAGACGAGAGCCGCCCAGATAACCGCGGTCTCACTCCCCCGGGCGCAGGCTTCCAGCCACCGCTGCTCTGCCTCCTCTCCAATCCCACCCTGCAGGGGGCCCCCCAGTTCCGCGCAAGGGCAGCTCCCGCTAATCTCAGGTGCTGCTCCCACGCCTTTCGCGGCTGCATCTGGAGCAGGGATGGAGAGCCGGGGCTCGCGGCTGGCAGGGCCGGAGCTGGAATTGGGAGGGCCGGTCGCGCTGGGGGAGGGGGCCCGGCGGGCGGGAGCAGGGATGGGGGGCGCGGCTTTCTGCCCTTTCCTCTCCCGGAGCCGGGGCGGCTCAAAAGCGCCTTTGTGGATGGAGCTGCTGAGTCCGCTTCTCCCGGCGCGTCCCCGGCCTCGGCCCGGGATTCTCGCTCGGTTAAGTCATCCGGGAGAATGGCCATTGTACTTCGCGCGGCCCCCGCCACCCAAACCCTTTTTCCAGCAGCCTTGGTCCCGCACGGCTCGGCTCGGGCACCTCTGTGGGGGGCACTCGCACCACGAAGGGGTTAATGCTAGGGGCCGAAAGGAGGAGGAGGAAGGAAGGAAGGAAGCGATGCCCTGTGCCAGGGAAGGCAACGAAACAAAAGATGAATCAGGCGGAGGGAGGGCAGCCGGGGCTTGGGGCGGGGGCCAGCCTCAAACAGGGGCTCCTCTCGGGGCGCCGGGCTGCCCAGCCCCTCCCTGCCCGAGCTGCCACCCGCCCTCTCAGCTCCGGCCCTCTCCCAGGTTGAGCCGAGGTCCCTTAATGAGTGAGCGGCGGGCGTCGAAAGTGGGCCTGGATAGGCACCCGCTCGCGATGCCTGGGGCGACCCCACCGCCCTCCCACAAACGCTCCGGGAAGGAAGTGCATATTGGCCACTACACCTCTTCGGGTTCTCACTTCCCCAGGACACTCAGAAGCTGGGAGGAAGTGGTGTGGGGCCAGGAAAACAAGGAACCGACCCCCTTCCGTCCAGGTCCCTTCTTGCCCCGGCGGTGGCAGCGAGGAGACTGACTCCTTTATTCCCCGCCAGCGCTGTAAGGAGCGCGTGAACGCCTTGGCCATTGCGGTGATGAACATGTGGCCCGGAGTGCGCCTCCGGGTGACCGAGGGCTGGGACGAGGACGGCCACCACGCGCAGGACTCGCTCCACTACGAGGGTCGTGCCTTGGACATCACCACGTCGGATCGCGACCGCAATAAGTATGGGCTGCTGGCGCGCCTGGCGGTGGAGGCCGGCTTCGACTGGGTCTACTACGAGTCCCGCAACCACGTCCACGTGTCGGTCAAAGCCGGTACAGTAGGGGGTGGGTGGTGAGGTCCGCCCAAAGACCGCTCCTTCCGGGAAACTGAGGCTGCGTAGCTCTGGGGCGATGCTGGGGGAGACCAAGCGGGCGTTAGTGCTGTAAACCCTCCCCCCCCCCGCAAGGTTGGGGCCAGATCCGTGGGAAATTACACGTCCCGGGACTGGCGAGGTCTGCCCTGGGCTTGACCCGCATCTCTCAGAATCTGGAACCGCTGGTCTCGATTCAGTCCTCGCTGTGCTTGTTCCCTGCAGATAACTCGCTGGCGGTCAGGGCCGGCGGCTGCTTTCCGGGAAATGCCACCGTGCGCCTGCGGAGCGGCGAGCGGAAGGGGCTGCGGGAACTGCATCGCGGAGACTGGGTGTTGGCGGCCGACGCGGCCGGCCGGGTGGTGCCCACGCCCGTTCTGCTCTTCCTGGACCGGGACTTGCAGCGCCGGGCCTCCTTCGTGGCTGTGGAGACCGAGCGGCCCCCGCGCAAGCTGTTGCTCACGCCCTGGCACCTGGTGTTCGCGGCTCGGGGGCCGGCGCCCGCGCCCGGCGACTTTGCCCCGGTGTTCGCGCGCCGGCTGCGCGCGGGGGACTCGGTGCTGGCGCCCGGCGGGGACGCGCTGCGGCCGGCGCGCGTGGCCCGCGTGGCAAGGGAGGAAGCCGTGGGCGTGTTCGCGCCGCTCACGGCCCACGGGACGCTGCTGGTCAACGACGTGCTGGCCTCGTGTTACGCGGTTCTGGAGAGTCACCAGTGGGCGCACCGCGCCTTCGCCCCGTTGCGCCTGCTGCACGCGCTCGGGGCGCTGCTTCCGGGCGGGGCGGTGCAGCCCACGGGCATGCACTGGTACTCTCGGTTCCTCTACCGCTTGGCGGAGGAGCTACTGGGCTGAGCGCGACGGACACGGAAGCCTCGAGGCGCCTGCTCAAACCCCGGCGTGCGGCGTGCGGCGGAGATCTGGGGGTGTGGGCAGCAGAGGATGCTGACTCGGGGGTGGGGGAGGAGGGGAGGCGGAGAACCAGAGGCAAGCCTGGACCGCTTGGTGTGGGGGCAGCCTCCACCCGGGAGGAGATCCTGGGTCCTAGGTAGATGGTGGGTACTCCTTGACGAGGACTGTTTCGCCTCTTCCTCCTCTGTGCCTCAGCCCCACCCGGTTATTTTATTTTATTTTCTATTTATAAATTGTAATATAATGACCTGCTTGCCCCGCCTGGCAAGGTGAGGGGCCAGGGCACGGCGTTAACACTGTTTGACACAGCCAGCCAATCTGATGTCTGACATTTTCCTACAGGTGGGCTAATAAAGGGAAGGCTTGCAGGAGCTTATTGGAAAAATCTCTGTATTCAGGGGGTGATTCACCTCCGGAGGAGGGGAGAAGGGGACCAACCCTGAGTCACTACCCTACATCTGACTCCTCCTTCCTTGCCCAGCAGGTCTTCCTGCCTGCTTCCTCCCCTCAGAGGGGGCATCCCAGTCCATCAGCAACTGGAGACCAGAAGAATCCTCCTCTTTTCTAGGCTGTTGGCCCCTTCTCCCACCAGAGAGGACCAGAATTCTACCTGCATGACTGCATACCGAACGGAGGGGCCAGGGATGTTGAAGGAGCAAGAGGGTCCACGCATGTCCTTTCTGGTTCATAGTGGCTCCAGCGAGGTCTCAGGCCATTACATTACTGCTACTCGGAGAATTCTGGTCCCTGATTGTTAGGCTGCAGTCCTAGTCCCTCCCTGAAGGCCACGAAGAATCAGCCTAGCTCCCATCCTACCCTGGTGTCAGAGTCTGGATGGGGATGATGTTTTATTCTGGGATGTCACTGGACCAACTGATGGTCCTTGGGAATCCCTAGCTAATTTATAACTGATAGTCCCCATACACTCTTGGTCAAGAGAAAGAATGAGAACAGACGGCTGGAACAGCCCTGAAGGAGAGAGAACAGCTTCAAGCCCTGGCGTATATGTGTTTAGGGGGAGGAGGGAAGACTCTCCATGCAAGGGCCTATAGGTATTACAACCTGAGTGCTCTTCTTGATCGCCTCTCCTAGTTGTTTCTCTTGGCTTCCTCCACCATCCCCCTCTTCCTCCTCCCCTTCTCCAGGCTCTGCTTCCCCCACCTGAGTGTTCCTGGAACCTGCAGGTTCCAAGGCAGCCAGAGAGGCAGGAGCTCAGACAGGTGCCCCGAGTTAGGAATGGAAGCTCAGAGGAAGTTGGACTTCAGTGGAAGGGGAATGAATGTCTGTGCTGGAGGGGATGGAGGGGTTTGGTCATACCACCGGGGAGCCAGCCCTTGTCTGTAGCCTGTAGGGAGCAGTGCAACTTCAGTCCACAGGGTCCCTGCTATCCACCGCCCTCTGGTGGCTGTCGGGATCAGTTCTCTTCCAGATCAATGGAAAGAGATTCCTACTTACTGCGGGGATGGGTAGACTGGACCTGTGCGTAGGAGCCTTATCTCAGGAGGTGAGAGACGGTGGGTGGGGCTGGGTAAGATGCCAGGGCTGAGCCACAGGTATCACGCCTCTCCTTGTGAAAACCCTTCCAGAAGCCTGGCATTTTTGCATCCCCCGTGCCTGGTTTAGCTCTGTGGCTCCCAGAAGCTGGAGGTATAGTTGTAGCCAGATTCCGCGCACGTTCAAGTTGCCACCTCATCTCTCTCACCCTGTGACCCTTGAGTTCAATGTCCGGAGGTAAAAAGCATACTTAGGGTTCCAGAAGTGATCGATAAAGGCAACCTTTGGAAGCAGAATAATTTTTACCTTTAGTGTCCTTCCCCGCGCCATTTCCTTCAATCCATACCTGTTACCTGTTAATCAGGTACCTGTTACCACTCCCTCTCCCTTTCCAGATTTCACAATCCAGGCTGTGGATCTTGCCCAGAGCATGGCCTGGAAGTCAGGCAGACCTGCAGATACTCATACCACCCCAAGAAGATTGTTGAGATGATCAGTGTGTGTGCCCAGTGTGGAATAGACACTCTATTTTCTATGCTCTGCTCCCATTTCTCACTGCCTTTGCTGCCTTCTGCTGTTTGTCTGCTTTTCTCCTCACCACTCCACTAGAAGCAGGATTTATCCATGGTTCCCAAATATTTTGGGGGGTCGTGTTGCCCCCATAATTGTTTGACTTCACTACACTCCTTCGGAAGGTGCTGTGTGAAAGATTTGGGCTTGCTTTAGAACTAAAGTATAATTAAAAGTGATCTTGTTTTGAGAATATACAGAATATTTTGTAATAATCTTGCTTGCCAAGACCTCTCTGCATGCTGGGAAACCAGAGTTGAGAACCACTCCTTCGAGTTTCAGTTGACCTTTTTAAACTCCCCTAGTCCAGACTTTTATCCCCCTTCCTTTCTTCAGGTGGGGTTTACTGAACATCTACAGTGTAGCACTGTATTAGGCATGAAAAATATATAAAATATTAAGAAGCAGCTTCCTCTATGGAGGAGTAGACTTAAAGCTATAAGATGGTTACCTGCCAAAACAACATTGTTACTTAATCAGGATGAGTTGAATGGGTGAAAAATGTCATATTGGTGCAGAGAGCCTTGTGAAAAAAGTAGGGCCTGAATAGGGTATGGATGCATGTAGATGGAGGAGACCAGATAGGGCATTCCAGGCAGAGGTAGCAACATGAGCAGGGACTTGAAATCTGGAATGAAAATGTGCAGACTGGCTAGAGTGGGAGATGGAGGACTGTAACTATACGTAGCTAATGTTTCTTGAGAACTTGCTATATGTCAGGCCCTCTTCTAGCTCTTTACATGCATTCTCATTTCATGCATATGACAACCCTGTGGGATTGTATTACTGATGAGGAAACCAAGGCAAGGACAGGTTTAAGTCACTGGGTCAAGTTTTCGCAGCTAGTAAATGGTAGACCTGGAGCAGAAACAACAAGAAGACTACCTTGATGGATGGGGCTATGTCGTTAAAGGCCTTAAGAAGTTTTTGACTCAGTGCCCCTGGGTGGCTCAATCAGTTAAGCATCGGACACTTGGTTTGGAGGCTCAGGTCAGGATCTCACAGTTGTGGGATTGGGCCCTGTGTCAGGATCGGAGCTCAGCGGGTTGTCTGCTGGAGATTCTCTCTTTTCCTCTCCCTCTGCCTCTCACTCTCAAATAAATAAATAAATAAACAAACAAACAAACAAACAAAAAGTTTTTGCTTCTCCTTCACTGAGTCACTAGTAAGTCCTAGCTTTTTGATAGTCATTTCTCTCTCATTTTCAGTGGCTCTTTTTTCTCCTGCCTGGATTGCTGGCTTCCTTAACTAACGTTACCCATCCAGTAAAGGACCATATATATATATATATATATTCACACACAGAGTAGAAGTGAGTCTGAGCTTTATCATAGACTGAATATATGTGTCCCCACTCCAAATTAATAGGCTCAAACCCTAAGACCTGTGTGGCTGTTTTTGGAGGTGGGGCCTCTAAGACTGTAATGAAGGTCAAAGGAAATCATAGGAGTAGGGCTCTGATCTGATAGGATTTCTGTCTTTCTAAGAAAAGGTGCCAGAAAGTTGCTTTCTCTCTCTTTGCATGTACCAAGGAAAGGCCATATAAAGACATAGCAAGAAGGCAGCCATCTGCAGGCCAGGAAGAGAACTCTCGCCAGGAACCAAATTGGCCAGAACCTTGATCTTGAACTTCCCCAACCTCCCAAGTAGTGAGAACATAAATGTTTGATGTCTAAGCCACCCAGTCTATGTTATTTTGCTATGGCAGCCCTAGCAGACTAATACGATCTTCCAGAAACACATGAAGTGAGAAGAAGCCGGTGCTAAGATGGAGTGTTTACTTAGTGAAAAGAATGAATTATGGAGAGTGAGCATTTCTGACCTAGAGCTTTCACATGTTTATCCCAGACAGAGCCTCTAGGTCTCTACTATATTGGAGGAAGTGTTCTTCTCTGGCTGGAAGACAGAAGAAGCTGTCTATGGGAAGAAGGGTATAGCTGGTCAGGCTATTTCCCTGTGGGGGTCGTATGGCCATTCAGCACATTCACACTCCTTTTGCTATATATGAATTGGTTGATGTACACACGTGAACATCTCCCATAGGGGAGGGATATCTTCAGGTTTTACTGAGTGTCTCCCTTGTGCCAAATACCATGCTGTGCCATGGGGAGAGGACAATAAGTCTGGGCTGGCTCTTACAGCTCACTTGGTCAAGCTGGGGAGGAAGAGTAAATTGAGCCCAAGGAACATTAGTAAGTTCAGTTTAGTCAAAGGGAGGTGTGATAGACTTTAAAGATTGTAAATTTTATCCTGAAGGTGAAAAACAACTATAGGATTTGAGGCAGATGAAAGGAGAAATCAAACCTGCATTTTAAAAAAGGAATTGGGGAAAAATAAATAAATAAATAAAAAATAAAAAAGGAATTGGGGGATGCCTGGGTGGCTCAGCGGTTGGGCTCCTGCCTTCAACCCAGGGCATGATCCTGGAATCCCAGGATCAAGTCCCATGTCGGGCTCCCTGCTTGGAGCCTGCTTCTCTCTCTGCCTGTGTCTCTGCCTCTCTGTGTGTGTGTGTGTGTGTGTGTCTCTCATGAATAAATAAAATCTTAAAAAAAATTAAAAAGGAATTGGCGGGATCCCTGGGTGGCACAGCGGTTTGGCGCCTGCCTTTGGCCCAGGGCGCGATCCTGGAGACCCGGGATCGAGTCCCACGTCGGGCTCCCGGTGCATGGAGCCTGCTTCTCCCTCTGCCTGTGTCTCTGCCTCTCTCTCTCTCTGTGTGACTATCATAAATAAATAAAAATTTTAAAAAAATAAAAATAAAAAAAATAAAAAGGAATTGGCAATTGGATGGGCTTTTTGGGTCATCTTTAATCTCTAAGTAGGTTGGTCCTCCTCTGCCTGTGTGAGCCTTGCTAGTTTTGATTGCAAGGAGCAAATGCTCCTGTCCACACATACAGTGTGTTATGGGAGCAGACGGTGGGGGGTTGTGTACGGATATTGGAGCAGGGTAGGATAGGATAGGGACAGACCTGAAGGTGATACCTCCAGCCCTGGCTTTCCTTCTCTCTGAAACCGAAGTCCAAACTGTCTCTCAACCTCTCTCCTTGGGACCACAGAACCTAAGAACACTTATTTGACTCCAAACCACATGATGTTCAAACAGGAGTCCTTGGAACTGGCAACTCCTTTTTTTTCTTTTTTCTTTTTTTTTTTTTTTTGCTATTCTCTTTTGCTGTCCAGCCATTCTTTCAGCAGAGTTTGGCTTAGTGAGTTGCTGATGGCCCTAAACTGAGACAGAGCTGCCACCCGGAGAGCTAGGTCTGGGCTGAACGTTGCAGCTGCCCAGGGAACAGCTGGCTAAGCCCTC